TATTGGACAGCAATAGCTCCCAAAGTGGCCCATTTAAGGTGGAATCAGGTGTCAAGCAGGGATGTGTTATTGCCCCAACCTTATTTTCCATCTTCATCACTATGATTCTTCATCTTGTTGATGGGAAGCTTCCTACCGGAGTGGAAATCATCTATCAGACAGATGGCAAGCTATTTAACCTCAGCAAACTCAAAGCCCAAATCAAGATTACAACAACATCTGTTATAGAACTCCAATATGCTGATGACATCATAATCTGTGCACATTCAGAAGAAGACCTACAACCCACTCTAAATGCCTTTGCAGAAGCATATGAGAAGCTCATCCTGTCATTGAACATCGAGAAAACCAAAGTGCTCTTCCAGCAGGCACCAGCCAATCCGTCTGCAATCCCAGAAATACAGCTTAATCATGTAACATTAGAAAATATTGACCATTTCTGCTACCTTGGTAACCACCTCTCCACAAAAGTCAACATTGACACTGAAATACAACACTGCCTGAGCTCTGCGAGTGCAGCATTTTTTTGAATGAAGCACAGAGTGTTTGAGGACCGGGACATCCGTAGGGATACCAAGGTGCTTGTTTATAAAGCTATTGTCCTCCCAACCCTGCTATATGCCTGCGTAACGTGGACTATCTACAGACGTCACATTCACCTCCTAGGATGATTCCATCAGCGTTGCCTCCAAAAAATCCTGCAAATCTCTTAGGAAGACAGATGAGCAAATATCCGCGTGCTGGAAGAAGCAAAGACCATCAGCCTTGAAGTGATGGTCCTCTGCCGTCAACTCCACTGGACTAGCCATGTTGTTCAGATGCCTGACCACCATCTCCCAAAGCAGTGGACAGGAAAAGAGATTTAAAGATGGGCTCAAAGCCAACCTTAAAAACTCTGGCATAGACACACTGAGAACTGGGAAACCCTGGCCCTTAAGCACTCCAGCTGGAGGTCAGCTGTGACCAGCAGTGCTGTAGAAGTTGAAGAGGCATGAATAGAGGGCGAAAGAGAGAAACGTGCCAAGAAGAAGAAGGCGCATCAAGCCAACCCCAACCGGGACCACCTTCCACCTGGAAACCGATGCCCTCACTCCAGGAGAATGTGTAGGTCAAGAATAGGGCTCCACTGTCACCTATGTACCCACTGCCAGGACACCAAACTTAGAGGACAATCTTACTCAGACAACGAGGGATCACCTAAGTAATTAAGTAAGTAAGTACTAGGAGTCTACCACTGCAATAAAGTGGGGGAGGGGTTGGTAAGGATGAGCTGACTACCATTAAAATGAACAAAATCTGGCTACCAGTATTTCAGTAAATAAAGAGCAATAGTAAAAAAAAACCAAAAAACCAGGGGAAATCCAGACAACAATCAATCAGAACCAGTTAACACCTCCCAACAAAGGATTTCCCCAGACAGCAACCAGCCAGGCTTTGAAGCGGCAAGGCTATGCAGTGCTAATCAACGTGGCCAATTGCAACATTCACATTTGCCTCAAGCAGACAAGAGTTTTTCCCCCATCTTGGACATTCTACAGATACATAAACCTCACTTGTCTAGTTTCCAGCAGAACTCTAACGATTTCTGCCATAGATATGGGCAAAATATCAGGAGATAATGCTTCTGGAACATGATCACACAGGCCGGAAAACTCACAGTAATCCGATGAGCTGGCTGTTCTAAACATTGGTTTGTGACCTTTTACTTGCTCACAGTCTTGAGCAGCTGGCATTTCAGCAGAGGAGGAGGAGAGAAGGACAAACAAATGTTTTCAGCCTTGTAGTCACTGGGCATGTAAACACTGATGGCACCGTTGCTGCAATCATATTGGATGGTAAAATACATTAACAGTAATGTCAAGACTGACCAACCGGGGACAACAGAAGACTTTGTGGGGTTCATTGTGAGTTGCAGCCAAACACAAGATTCATAAGACAAGATTCATAAGGAGATCTCTTATGCCCACTCCCAACAAATGCACACACTTTCCTCGAGCCTACATAAACAAGGCTTCGAGGATAAGAAGTCACCTTCAGGCAATGCCATGCAACATATCATAGATGACAGAGTTGCACTTTGTCTACTAGGGCACGTTTTGCAATCCTTTCTCCCAAAGTATCCTTCTCCATTGCTGAAGATTCTTCCTAGGACAGATTATATCTCTTCTTATACAGCTTATACACCAAGTAAGATGAGTGCACCTCGTGGTCTCTGTCTAAATTCCAGCCAGTCCTACAAAGACCATGAATATTTATTATCCCTTATTGTCGAAGGCTTTCATGGTTGGAATCACTGGGTTGCAGTATGGCCATGTTCCAGAAGCATTTTCTCCTGATGTTTCATCTGCATCTATGGCAAGCATCCTCAGAGGTTGTGAGGTCTGCTGGAAACTAGGCAAGTGAGGTTTATATATCTGTGGAATAATGTCCAGGGTGGGAGAAAGAGCTCTTGTCTGTTTGAGGCAGGTGTGAATGTTGGAATTGGTCACCTTGATTAGCATTTAATGGCCTTGCAGTTTCGAAGCCTGGTTGCTTACTGCCTAGGGCAATCCTTTGTTGGGAGGTGTTTAGCTGCCCCTGATTGTTTCTTGTCTGGAATTCCCCTGGTTTTTGTTTATTATTTATTTATTTCAAATATTTATATCCCGTCCTTCTCAACCCCTCAGGCTGGCTTACAACCGGCAACCAGATGCCAACAGCAACAATTACAGTACGAAACAGGTTAACATTAGATAAAACAATGGTTATTTTAGTGTTGTTTTTGAGTGCTGTTCTTTATTTACTGTTTTGATTTTTAGAGTTTCTTTAGTATTGGTAGCCAGATTTTGTTCATTTTCATGGAGGAAACCAAAATCTTGAAGCTGCAAGGCCATTCAAGGCTAATCAAGGCTGCCAATTGCAACAGTCACACCTGCTTCAAGCAGACAAGAGTTCTTTCTCCAATCCTTGACATTCCACAGATATGTAAACCCCACTTGACTAGTTTCCAGCAGACCTCACAACCTCTGAGGATGCCTGCCATAAATGCAAGCGAAACATCAGGAGAGAATGCTTCTGGAAAATATGGCCATAGGTAAAGGTAAAGGTTTCCCCTGACATTAACTCCAGTCCTGTCTGACTCTGGGGGTTGGTGCTCATCTCCATTTCTAAGCCGAAGAGCCAGTGTTGTCCGTAGACACCTCCAAGGTCATGTGGCCGGCATGATGCATGGAGCGCTGTTACCTTCCCACTGGAGTGGTATCTATTGATCTATTCACATTTGCATTTTTGAACTGCTAGGTTGCCAGAAGCTGGGGCTGACACTGGAAGCTCACCACTCCCTGGAATCGAACCTGCGACCTTTTGGTCAACAGGCTCAGCAGCATAGCAGTTTAAACCACTGCGCCACCGGGGACTCCCTGAACATGGCCAGAAAACTCACAGCAACCCATTTATTATCCCCCTTGCATTTTAGGAGGATGTCTTATTTTGGCCACCTCCTTCTAGCCACTGTGCCTGGTATCCCTTCCTCTGGTAAAAGAGGAAGGTCACCATGAGAAATAGTCCTTATCACAAACGCCCCTCTCTACCTTACATAGGCACTCGAGGAGAGTTGGGCTTCCTGTAGCATCCCCAAGATTGACGATGCAACACGTTCACTGACGCTGAGGGCAATCCCTCTCCCTCAGAATTCAATAGCAAACACCCACCATTTATTTTAATGGAATGGGATTTCACTCATTGTCGATACAGCCAGAGGAGAGAGTGCTCTTCCCACAGCTCGGGCACTGTTGCAAATGCTTTGGCTAGTCAACCATCCTCCTCAAAGCTGAAAAGGCAAAGGTGTTAAGGGGCACACCAGGCCATGGAGGGTGATTGTGTCTCCTTCAGATGTTGCAGGGAAGAGCTTCAAGTATCAGTCCCGACCTTGATTTCCCCCCACCTTTTGAATGTGCCGGAGCCTCGATCCTCCCGCCGCTGCGGTTGCCTTGAGCCGCGCAGTCCCCTCCTGCATCCCAATCCGGAGGCTCCAAACAGAGCCTGTGTGTGATCGACAGCACCTTCCCTTCCCTGCGCGCATTCAAAGGACGGGAAAGAGACCCGAGGCTTTCCGTCTGGAGCAAATCTCCACTTTCTTTGCCAAACTCCCGCTAAACCCCCTTTCCCTCAATTTCCCTCTTCAACTTCGCGAAACAGAGAACCCAGGAGGAAGTGGAAAGATGTGTTGTTCTGAGTTTTCCGGGCTATATGGCCATGTTCCAGAAGCATTCTCTCCTGACGTTTCGCCCACATCTATGACAGGCATCCTCAGAGGTTTGAGAATCTGTTGGAAACTAGGCAAGTGAGGTTTATATATCTGTGCAAAGTCTCGGGTGGGAGAAAGAACTCCTATCTGCTGCAATTGGTCACCTTGATTAGCACTGAATGGCCTTGCAGTTTCAAAGCCTGACTGCTTCCTGCCTGGGGGAATCCTTTGTTGAGAGGTGTTAGCTGGCCCTGATTGTTTCCTGTCTGGAATTCCCCTGTGTTTGAGCGTTGTTCTTTACTGTTTTGATTTTAGAGGTTTTTTAAAATACTGGTAGCCAGATTTTGTTCATTTTCATGGTTTCCTGCTTTCTGTTGAAATTGTCCACCTGCTTGTGGATTTCAATGGCTCCTCTGTGCAGTCTGACATGGTACCTCAGGTGGGAATGGCCATACAGCCCGGAAAACTCACAGCAACCCATTGATTCCGGCCATGAAAGCCTTCGACAACATTGAGAAGTAGAAAGACTTTGCCTCTGCCCAGATTACAAACCACGAGGGGAGGGGGAGGGGGTAAACAACAAATCTCGGACACACTTGGACATACACTCCGCGCAAATGGACCCTGAAAGGGGATGACATATGGATCCAGGAAAGATGACAACACTGCAGTGCTTTCGGAAAGCATTCACTTTCTGTAACGCTTCTTGAAGAAGTTGAGTCCCCCCCCCCCCCCCCCCCCCCGGTCTCGGCTTTGTAAACAAGGCAAGGCTCACCGGGTCACCCTGATCCCTGAAGGTCACTCTCGGGCTCCGACGGCAGGGGACGTGGGCCGTCTCTCCCGGGGCCTCCTTGCTCCCTCCTCGCCTGCCTTCCTTGGCCTTCTCGGCGGCGGGGCGCTCTCCTTCTCCGCCTCCTCTTCCTCCTTCTCGCTCTCCCTCGGCGCTAAGCCCGGGCCCGGCATGCCCGCTCAGATGCCATGGTCGCAGTCCACGTCGCGGCAGATGTACCACAGGATCACGTAGAGGATGAGCAGGATGGCGAAGATGAAGAGGGCCACCAGAATCGCCTTGGTCACCGGCGAGATGAGGGACTGCATGGCCCCCGCGGGAGGCAGAGCCGCAGACGGAGGGAGAGGAGCCGAAAGAGGGGGGCGGGGAGGGGAGGGGGAGCCGAGGGCGCCCCGCTAACACCCGCGCAGCACGAAGAGGGAGAGGAGGAGGAGGAGGAGGAAGGGGCGCCGCATTGGCTCGTGCTCAAGGGGCGCGCTCGGCCTCCCCGCCGTCAAAGGCCAGGCTGCTGACCCGCGCCCCGCGGCTGCCCAAGGCCGACCTGGAGGAGGAGCAGGAGGAGGCGGGGAAGCCACCGCTGCAGCCGAAGCAGAAGCACTCCGCCTGGAAGGGGCGAAGGGGCCCGCCAAAGGCCGCGGCCATGGGCTCCCGGGCGGGCCTCGGGCGGCGAGGGGCTGAGCCGGGCGGAGGGAGAGCGGCTTCTTCTCCTTCCCTCAGAGACGCGCCGAGGACACGCGCCAGCTCGGAGCGGCGCCTCCAAAGTTGGGTGACGGCGGAGGCGGGGAGCAGCGCGCGGCTGCGGAGTCTGGGGAGGCTGCGCTTGCCCGCAGCAGGTAGGAGCCACAGCAGGTGGGAGGCGCCGCCAGGAAAGCCATGAAAAGGAGCGAGGGCCAAGGAAAACGCCGAGAGAGAGAGAGAGAGAGAGAGAGAAGAAGGAGGAGAAGGAGAAAGAGCGGGAAGGGCGCGTGCCGGAGCGCGCGCGGGTCTGCGAGGAAGGACGGCGGTGCTGTGGCAGAGAGCGCGCGCGGCGCTAGGCTGAGCTGGCCTGGGAAGTTCCTTCTCTCGGCCTCGCCTTCTCCAAGGGCTTCCCTTCAGCGCCCGGCCAAAGGAGGAGAGGGTCTCCACATGCGCCTTCTCTCAGCGGAGGAGGAGGAGGAGGAGGAGGAGGAAGCCCCGGCGTGCTGCAGGCGGGCAACCTGCCTGATTAGTATGCCGCCCAACAGAGCTCGGAGTCTCTCCCTTCCTTCCTTCCTCTCTCTCTCTCTCCCGCCTTCTTCCCATTCAGCGCCTCATCTGGTCCTCCTCTCTCCCCCCCCCCAAAAAAAACCCGCCAGGAAACCTCTGCTGGCGTGGAGTCCGCGCGCCTCTCTCGTCTTGCAGAGGAGAGTGGAATTGGCGTGTCTGTGTGTAATAGGGTTTTTGATAACCCCCTCCTTCTGCGCCTTTAACTGACGTCTCCATTAGCCGAGGTCCTTGTGACTCCAATGGGAAGCCTGCGACGTTTCTTTTTCATGTGAGATGCACCTGTGCTTGGGGTGGGAGAAGATCATAAGCACATGCCTCACAACCTCTGAGGGTGCCTGACATAGATGCGGGCGAAACGTCAGGAGAGAATGCTTCTGAGAATATCATAACCACATACCTCACAACCTCTGAGGGTGCCTGACATAGATGTGGGCAAAACAACAGGAGAGAATGCTTCTGAAAATATCATAAGCACATACCTCACAACCACTGAGGGTGCCTGACACAGATGTGGGCAAAACGTCAAGAGAGAATGCTTCTGGAACATGGCCATACAGCCTGGAAAACTCACAACAACCTAGTGATTCCAACCATGAAAGCCTTCGACAATACACATACATATAAACATATACACACACACATATATACAAACATACAAACATGCATACGTGAACACACATGGAAGTCTTTCAAAGGTCATAACATCTCAAGAGTGCCTGACATAGATGCAGGCGAAACGACAAGAGAGAAGGCTTCTGAAAATATCATAAGCACATACCACACAACCTCTGAGGGTGCCTGGCATAGATGCGGGCAAAACATCAAGAGAGAATGCTTCTGGAACATGGCCATACAGCCCGGAAAACTCACCACAACCTAATGATTCGATCATGAAAGCCTTCGACAATAAACATACATATATACATACACACATATATACAAACATACAAACACACACACGTACATGAACACATATGCAAGTCTTTCAAAGATCATAACTTCTCAGGAGTCCAAGGATACATTGGACTTGACTGATCAAGCTATTTGGCTGCCTGAAGCAAATGTCAAGCTAATATTTATCTGCTTTCTGACACCACCACCCCCACCTCAAACCCCTCCAATTCTACTATGCCAACCATATTGGCAGTGAATTCTTGTTTCCATACTGGAGAAGGATGGCAACATCAACACACTGAAAATGGCTGGCTATTAAAGTGTTGAAGGAAAATTTTGAGAGTGCCTTGGACTGCAAGAAGATCAAACCAGTCCATACTCCAGGAAATAGTGCCTGACTGCTCACTGGAGGGGAGGATATTAGAGGCAAAAATGAAGTATTTTAGCCCCATAATGGGAAGACAGGAAAGCTTGGAGAAGACAATGATGCTGGGGGGAAATGGAAGGAAAAGAGAAGAGAGGCTGACCAAGGGCAAGGTGGATGGATGGTGTCCTTGAAGTAACTGGCTTGACCTTGAAGGAGCTGGGAGTGGCCAGGGAGCTCTGGTCCATGAGGTCATGAGTCAGAAGCCACTGAACGAATAAACAACATCAGTGAACACAGGGAAGGTTTCTTAGGACACCATCTTCTTGCTTGCGAGCTACAGCCGGGTCAGGGTTGTTGATACCACATCACCTGGCATCTACCACTTGAGGCAACCACCCCAGTCTGCATAATAGTAGGACTGGCACTGGGTTTAATCCAAATTCAGAATGAGCACCCCTATGTCAAGGTGAGTTCCCACATAGATGGATGTAGCATGCTGATGACTACTACATCATGAGATAACTTGTGTTTGTGAGAGAACCATAACTGATTGTATTAAATGCCCTAAAGGCAGGATATAGTATTTCATTTGTTATCAAATGTATTACTTCCTAATAAAGGCATTTTCTGCACCTTCAGGTAATTGTTGAATAGGAGATATGGGATGAGGATAAAGGAACAACCGCCACATAGCCATTGTAAGGTCATCCACTCTATGTATAAGGGCTAACTCATTCTTTATCTCTGCAGGGCAGCTGCTGTTATTTGGCATGCTGATGGAAACATCCCATGATATAGTTGGGTCAATTTCTTTCACAAGAGCCTTGAAGCAAAAAATTATGCAGGAGAGTGAAGGAGTGTTAGAGTGAAGGAGTGTTGTGCTACACACAATTGTCTGAGAATTATGGGAGTTGTGCTTCACTGCAACTCCCATCATTCTAGAAGGGAAAGACTATTCTACATCTAGTACACAAAGCTTAGAGTCCATCTACAGCTGTGTTTCCCAACTTTTTTTTTGACCGGGGACCACGTGAGCAGGACCACTCACCAACATTAGTACCAAAAGGGTTACGAATCAGTTTTTGGTCAACTTTAGATTCGGTTTGGTTATTTGGGGTGCTGGTTCAGAAAACTGCATTGGATAAATCACATCAGCTCTGGTTTTTGATACAGAACATATGCCATCCAGTAGTTGCCATCTGCTCACCAACAGAAAACTGTATTTAACAAGCCTTGGAACTATATGAGGGTTTTTCAAAGCCAGTTGCTTTTGTTGCAACAGTGTAGTAATGATGAGTTAATGGACCATATTTTAGTTCTTGCAGACCACTGGTGGTCCATGGACCACAGGTTGGGAACCACTGATCTACAATGACCATTTAATGCAGTTTCAAACCAGTATTGAAGAAAGTGTTTTCACTGTGCAGATAATCCTGGAACTAGTTTTGACAATTACAGAAACCACAGAGCACTGGTGCAGATTAAAGGCTTTCTTTCACTCAGTTTTGTGGGAGTTTGTTATCTAGTCACTACAGTTTTAAGCTAGCTTCAAACTGCAGTATACCCTTAGTGTAGACAGGGCCTTACTTAAATTTATTTATTGGGTTTCTTCCAGAGGAGAAAAAAAATGAAGAAAAATTACCATTTCTTAGTTACCTGTGTCCTAAGAGGCCACAAAACCATGCAAATTAACCTGTAGAATACATTTCACAATAGCATCTATAACAGTGGTTCTCAACCTGTGGGTCCCCAGATGTTTTGGCCTTTTAACTCCCAGAAATCCTAACAGTTGGTAAACTGGCTGGGATTTCTGGGAATTGTAGGCCAAAACACCTGAGGATCCACAGGTTGAGAACCACTGATCTATGAGGTCTCATGCCCAGCAACAGTCAATTCACAGACCAATAGCCATTGCTCTTGACTGGTTAGCTTATTTGAGCAAGAAGTGTACACAATATTTCTGCTGAGCAGCAACTTTACATATTAACTTGAAAATGTAAAAACAGCTAATTCTCTGTATCTAGTGCCCTCATTTCTCATATATGTTCACCCCCAGATATACCATTCATCTGTGCCTTATGAAATCAAAAGCTTCTTGGTAATTTCACTACAATGAATGGCTAAAATAATTCTCTTTCACATCCATTGCCCACAACAAAAATAATAATTGCTTAGAGCAGATAATTAACCTCATGTGTTTAGTAGACACTCTCCAGATCTGATAAAAACCTTTTAGCAAAAAAATCTAGAAATGTCTGTGTCTTAGATCTAAGGGCAGCTAAACAGGGAGATTGCAGTCTATCCTTTCATTATGTAATCATATAGAATAACAAAGCCTAATAAATGATACAAATACAGCATGAATATATAATGGAAGGAAACAGATGTATATATTGGAAGCATACACACAATAAACACATAGGATTAAAAAGCAATGTTGATGGTTGTTATAAACATGACAGCATAATATGCTCTGCTTCAAGCTCTACAGGTGAATAGTAAACCAAAGGCAAACATTGCTTGTAGCAGAGACTGTATTCATAAACTCTACATTTGCTGCAGAATGAAGCAGTCATCTATCTACACACATATATAGAGAGAGAACATAACCAAAATGTGCCATTACATGTAACGTATTACTAGAGAATATGGATGTTTCATTATCAAAATGATATGTTAAGATACAAGAAAAATATTGTGGAGGAGGAAGAGAATGAATGGGAAGGAAAAGATAAAGAGAGTACTGATACTGTACTCATCCTGTTAGATGAGCTAATGTGAATGCAGTTGGTCCAAAATAACATGATTTGCCTATCATAACATGCTCCATTTGCAAATAACATTGCTCTTCTTTCAACCTACATACTGGAACCATACTGCACTGTATATTACACATAAGAGATATGGAGGAGTAAATTTTAAATGGGCTTTTACAAAAATCATATTGTGGAACTGACACAGGAGTTAAGAAAGGGAAATAATACCACGAGGAAACAGGAATATCCCCAGGTTTAATAGCCAGATTGTACAAATATATCCTATGTTATAACTTGGAAGATAACCGAGTTGAAAACCTCCATGATTTCATGGATCTTGATAAATGGGAATACCTGTGAAACAAAGGATTCAAATTTACAGTGGCAGCTTCAAGTGGAGACAGTTTATATAAAATGTTTTGCAGGTGTTACACAACTCCAGTTCTCCTAGCCAAAATAGAGAATTTGCAATCAGAATTCTGTTGGAGTTGTAAAATAAAGAAAGGGACCTTTTTCCATGTGTGGTGGTCTTGCAAATTGGTGCAGGCTTATTGCGAAAAAAATTAAGGAAACAAAATTGTCCACAACAAAGTTAAAACAAATCCAGGGATGTGCCTATTAGAGTTATTCAGAGACAATCTAGAGCAGCCGGAAAGAGAAATTTGCCAGCACAGCTTCACAACTGCACATATACCAATTGTCAAAGAAAGGTGAAAAAATGTTAAGTAACAAAAAATATGAGGGATAAACTGTGGATTTATGCACAGATGGCCAAGATTTCTTGTAATTTGAAACATGAAAGCCACGAAGGTTTTGGAAGAAACTCGAAACTGGCTATAACATATCTGATGGGAGAATTTAAGAAATAAAAACAAGAGGAATTTATTGACCTAGA